CGGGAGCTGCACTGGACGACGAGCGCCCTCGCGGTGCACGGCCCCGTGGCGCTGGCCCACGCGCTGCCTCGCTGGTTGCGCCTCGGCCTGCATACGCTGAATCTCGCCACCAATTATATCAGCGACGACGCGGCGCAGGTCCTCTCGATGGCGATTGCCAAAGGCGGCCACACCCAACACGTCGCTTTGGATTTGAGTGCCAATGCGTTCAAACTGCCGGGTCTCCGCGCGCTGCTTCTGGCGCTGAGTGCCAGCGTGAACGTGTCGATCCGGCTAAACAAGCTCCAGCTCATGCGTCGGCACATCGATGAGCTCGATGCGTTCGCTGCCGTCCACGGGGTGCAGTGTGACTCGACGACACAAGTGTACTCTGCGCCTCCTGCCGATGTGACACCATGGCGGCTCTGATCGCGTCCATGGATCCAGCACCTCGTCGGGGCATGTGCTACCTAGTACGTACTAGTACTGTGGTGCCATCGACCGGTGGTAGAAAGCAGAGACGGGATGGCCTGCAAAATTAAACTTAAGACCAGAAATATCGAGTGCTGATTGTTTGTTGCACAACCCAACGATATCTTTCGTGCGCCAAATTCAAAATCCTAAAGTCCAAAATCCAAAATCCAAAAATCCAAAAATTCAAACTTCAAAATCCTAGACATGGGTTGACAACATTTGTACATCCCACCACTACGCTTCGCGACGCTTGGCGACGTTGTGGTTTTTAAGGCAACGTCTCCTTGCAGCTTAAGCTCGTCCTTCGAGGGCTCCGACGCTGTCCAACGGAGAGTGCATGCGGCGACCTACACTCCAACTCCCTCAGGAACCTCCTACGTTAAATATCCTCTATCATAAAATGTTCTTTTCGTCAAACAGCATCTGGAATACCTCTAGTAATACATATATTTGCACATTTGATATATGGGACAAAGCCTCGGGCCCAAGGCTGCTGAAACTCCACAAGCCAATTCGCAGCCAAGACGACGCAGCATGGACAACAAGTTCATCCCGCAGGTAGACGCCGCCTCTCGCCGCCCGCCCATGACGCATGGCCCATCTAGGCCATCGCGCTCGTGACGCAGGCGATCCAGGAAGACACCAACAAGAACTACGAAGCCGCCTTCAAGCTCTACAAGCAGTCGCTCGAGCACTTTATGATCGGCGTCAAATGTATGACAATGCGCCATGGACCTGTGGTCATCATCTCCACGTAGATGAGAAGAACCCGACGTCCAAAGAGATCATCATGAAGCGCGTCGAGGGCTACATGTCCCGCGCCGAGCAGCTGCGCGAGATGCTCGAGGGCGCGTCCAAGCCCAAGGTCGTGCCCGCGGGCGGCGTCGCCGAAAAGTACGACCCTGTACATCATGCATGTACGCATGATGCTAAGGCCTGTCGCCTAGGGAAAAGGACGACGAAGAGAACGAAGATGC